ATTATCTTCTCCCTGGGTTTCTTTTTTTCCTGCTACTTCTACATCTTCAGCAAAGAATTGTGCAATTTCCTCATTAGTAAGAGGTTCATCATCATTAAGAAGGTCATCAGAGAATTTGATATTTTTGGTGAAGAGTCACTAGGGCTATTATCCTTCTTCCCTTCTTCATCACTAGCCCTATTGGTCCCTTGATGTACCTCTGGATCATTCTCAGTTTGGGGAATGTTTTCTTTCTTTAATAGTATGGTTGCATCAAGTTTGTTAATTTCAGATGAAGATCCTTTGCTGAATTGTTTATCACTAGACAAAGGATGGTATGAAGCATCACCACTGTCAGGAAGAACACTTTTCTTGGTGAGAGACTTAGCGAGAGTCGTTTGCTTTTCCTGCAACATAAAAAAGACATTAGTTCGAATAAAAGAACAATGGTGTTCGAAAAGGTGTAACGAATAAAAGTTATACCTTTTATCCATCAAGACTTGAGTTGTCACTTTCAACTCGCTCCAAGACTACGCCTCCAGATGGTTGGGACATACTTTTTTCTTTGGGATTTAGGGGAAGTATAATGAGCTCAGGCTTTTGTTTAGATAGCTGCGAAGAGGCTGCATTAGAAGTTTTGCCTTCTTCTTCTTTATCTTCTTAGTTTGTAAAGGAGTTGGAGGAGTATCTTCATCATCTTCGACATCCACTGGAGTGTCATGAGTGGACTTTCTTTTGTGTGGAGATTTTGGAGGTAGTTGGGTAGCCTGAAAGAATAATACTGTTAGAAGAAGAAATATAGTACAAAGCAGACAAAATTTTGAATCATACCTTTGATTCTTTTGATTTCTTGGTGTCTGGAGTGTTGCTTTTAGTTGAAGTGTTGGCTGGTTTGGAAGCTGCAGTTGAAATTGTCTTCGAACTAGGTTAATCCTTCTTAGTGTTTTTCTTTTCGACGGCGAGAATAATATACATTGATAACACCGGTTAGTATCAAATATAAATAAAATAACAAAGTTAATCGAAAAGACCATGGAAATCCTTTGGTTCCACACCTTCAGTTGTCGAAGAAAGAATGGAGATAGCTCATAAGTCATAATGAAGGAAGCCTTTGAAACTGTCCAAGGTATACTTAGTCCAAACCACTCGTTTGGCAGGTTTTTAAGACTCTTGTTTTAAGAAGTTAAGATATTTACCACAAACGAACTAATTTGGGTAAGGAGGATAAAAAGCCAGGCCAAAATCAATGCTAGGTAGTTTTGGGAATTTTGGTGGTTAAAGTTTAAAAGCTAAGTCATATCTATATTCAGGTTTGACACAAGTAGGAAGTTTTAAATGAGGAAGATTTTTGGTAAATTTCTATTTTAAACTTTGTGTTGCGTTAAAAGTGGTCCGACTAAGGTTAGTTGGATCATAGATAGTTTCAAAGTACTTTTGGAACGCCTGGATTTCCTTGATATGTGTGTGCTTACCTTTTTTGCTCAAATCCTACATAGATGCAAAAGCTTTCGTCAGATGTTGGCTGAGGAAAATGGTGTCAAACATATTCTTTGAATAAAAGTTTTTCCACTAAGTATCAAAACCTTTCGAGAAATATAGAGATGGTTGGAAAGAAATAGGATTAAATTATGCAAAGTTGATATGATAAGCCATATGCTCTTCTCAGTCTGAGAGAAATAACTTCATTCATGCGGTGTAGAGTTCACATTTTCTTCCGAAAATTGGCTCAGGGATTAATGGGCAAAGCCCAAATTATCGAGACACAAAATTGGGTTGATAAGCAAGCATGCAGATATTACTTTTCACAAGCACAATCTTTGAAACAATCAGCCCAGTGATTAAAAGGCTCTCAAATGTTAACAATATATGTATCTTCAGGCAAAATGACAAAAAGAAATTTGATAAACCAATCAGGGCCATGAGTCCTATTGACAAAATGAGCCATAGAAGGACTAAAGACATGAAGTTTTGAAAACATCATGATGTACTTAGTGAAATACTCCCTAAAGTTCTTTCCATTATCATCAGGAGTCACTCGGAGTAGCCTTGTTCCCTCAACGGTTTGATTTTGGGTTTCGGGATCTTCATTGTTCACTGTGCCAGAAGTATTGAGAGATGGTTCAAATGTTGCATTAAGCCATAATTGGAGAAGTCGATATGGGCTAGCTAGGAGCGAGTTTGTGCTTATTTTGTATCCTTTGAGTTTGGAGGTGGCAAATCCAAGGCTTTTGTATAACCCAATGAGAATTAACTCACTGAGGCATACTTTTTGACCAGAGTGAAGTTGGTTTGCTAAGGTAAGGAATCTTCTAGCTACTTGTAAGGACTTATAGCAAAAAAATACACCTTGATAGCCAGAGAGAAAGGAAAGCTATGTGTTCAACGTCAGACACTTCACTTCAACATGATAAAGATTCATGTATTTGGTGAAGGCAGCATTTTCAATGATAAAGTTGATATTGTTTGTTTCTTGTTGATAAAGGTCGAAAGTTTCTCTGGTTGGTCAGAGTCCAGTGATAGCAGCCACATTGAAGAGAGTAGGAGTTATCATTCGGCAGGGAAGATGGAAAGTATTATAAGTACTATCGCAGAAGTATAATGAGGACATCAACATAGGCTGACCATAGCTAAAACCTATTTTTGACATTTGAATTAAGTCAAAAATGCCTAAGTCTTTCCAGGTTTGAGATTTTTTCTTTTCGACTTTTACTAGCCAAGCCAGATATTACTTATCTGCTACAGGGCAAGACCTAAAAGGTCTAAAGTTCTCAGTTACATCGTCGAATTGAAAGGGTTGTCTCTTATTGCCTTAAGGGTTTGGATGGATATGTGGTGTCAAGGTCTCTTGAATTCTCAAAGTTTGGCTCATTGAAACTTTTGGCATTTCCTGGTCTCCCTAACAATCTCTTTCACTCATGCTATGGTGTAGATCACACAAGGATTAGAAGTTGTCAAGAAATTCATGTTCATCATGCCAAATCTTAACTAGTTACTAACATTCTACATGTGATATTCAATATCATCAAGGACCAAGGAAAAATCAAACATAGAAAAGAAAATGTTGCAGAGAGAAGCAGAAGGCAATGCATATTCAAGGTGGTGGGCTAGTCACACCAGAACAAACAATCAAAACGGATGGAGCAAAACCTTTAATTTCATTACCTTAATTATAATTTGTTCATTATCTTTTTCTTCTATTATAAAGTTGCATATCCAATCAAAACCTTTGAGGTTCATAACTTTAGATATGATGTGTAACATATAAATATAATATATAGTTTTATTTATTTTGTATACAAAATGCAGAAATAGAGGAAAATGTACAAAATACTATAAAACTCATAGAGGAAGATGGAGACTAGTTTGCAAAGAGAGTTGAAATGTATTACAAAAAGAGTTTGGAGTTGATAAGCTTTGTCGAAGAAACATACAAAGCTTCCCGAACTTTAGTTGAACGACATGATCACATATCAAAGAGTTAGAGAATGCCACAACAACCACAAACAAATTTAATCCAAGAAAGACTACAATGTCGTCGATTGCTTATAAAGTTGTTAAATCTAGATTAAACAAAAATAAGACACTTAAATCATGTCAAGAAATATTAGAACAATAGGAAGTAAAACAAGAAAGGTATGTTGATGAACATGTTGACTCGTGCAATGTAGTTGAAGAGGAAGAAGATGTTGACTCGCACAATGTGGTAGAAGAGGAATAAGATGTTTATTTTGAGTCTCACGTTGTTTATTTATAAATAACTATAATGTTTATAAAGCTAACATAAACATGGGCTAATGAATTGAAAAATGCTGTTAGAGAATGGGTATAAAAGTCCACAACCTTTTATTTAAAATTTTTAATTAATTAATTTCTTAAAAAAAATTAAAATGATTAGTTATCAATTAAAAGTTATATTGAATAATTTAAAAATATATTTACAAAAAAAAACTTAAATAAAATTACTAATTTATTTTATAAAAATATTTAATAATAAATTATTCTAATCATACTACCACATCATTGAAAAAAATTACCTACATTATCACTGTCATATCTACAAAATTAAAGGAAATCAACAATATCTCAATAAATATAAAGTTAAGATATCAAAAAATTAATTTTTTAAATAGAGAAATTAAAAATTAAAAATCATTAAATTACAGTGACCAAAAATAATTTTTGACCTTAATTTTTTAAATTATAAGATTGTAATATGAGAAAACATAATATTTATTCTAATAATTATAAGGAAAAAATTTAGATACAATTTCTTAAATGTGATTTTTACTATTTTCTAATAAAAATATCACAAATATATGATTTTTTGTTACATCTATACAATTCTTTTCTTATTTTCACACTAAAAATTATTTAAATACATTTATCATATCAAATAGTATAAATGAATCTAAATTTTCTCCTAATTATAATTGAACAACAGCGTGTTTAAACTTTCCTAAATGGTAGGAAATTGGAATATCTTATGTTTGAACAAAAGTTAAATTTCTTGTCAACAAAGAAATAAGATTAAACATGCTAATGCAGTCAATAGGCACATCTCGTCCAATCATCAGAATCAAAGATTCCAAACATTAATTATTGGATAACTATGCATTATTAATTAGTTAATTAATTTATAACTATAACTAAACAAGTAGTTAGTTATTATGGGTCTCTCTTCTAAATAAAAATTCTCTCTTTTAAACTGACTTGCTAAACATTAGTGTAATCCTAAATCCTACACGTACGTACGGTTGAGATTGAGTATCAATCTTAAAAGATATTTGAATTCAGAATCTTCAAATGAAAAAACAGTCTAAAAACACGTTTTCTTAACAAAGATCCTTTGACCACGTGTGCTTCAAATATTTAGGTCTTTGAAATATCAACATAGAACTTTCAATATATATATACACACACAAGAAGCAACTCTTTAACTTATTGTTTCATAGAGTACTGTATTATTTCTTCCTCCAATAAATAGTGTAAAACAACTCAACAAACCTCATAGTAACACAAACATGGATTGGGTTCGCGGTCGTTTGCTAGGTAGTGGAAGCTTCACCACCGTCAACTTAGCCACACACACAAAACATTCTGTTAACTTTCCGCCTATCACCGCCGTCAAATCCTCAGAAAACTACACTTCACATTTTCTCCAAAAGGAGAAACATATACTCGATTCTTTAGGTTCGTCTCCACATATTATCAAGTGTTTTGGTCATGATCATACTTTTGAAAACGGAGAAGACTGTTATAATATATTTCTTGAATATGCTGCCGGTGGAACACTTTCCGATCAGCTCAACAATCACGGTGGTAAATTCTCGGAAACTCTTGTTCGCCGTTACACAAGATCTGTTGTAGAAGGACTTAAAGACGTTCATGAAAACGGATTCGTTCATTGTGACGTGAAGCTAGAAAACATTCTCGTATTCGACAATGGAAATGTTAAGATTTCAGATTTTGGTCTTGCAAAGGAGAAAGGTTTAGAACATGGTGACAAGAAGTTGGAATGTAGAGGAACTCCTATTTTTATGGCGCCGGAGTCGGTTAACGATAGCGTTTATGAATCTCCGGTGGATATTTGGGCTCTTGGTTGCACCGTCGTGGAGATGATTAGTGGTGAACCAGCATGGAAAATGAGTAGCAAGTCAAATATGTGGTCATTGATGATTCGAATTGGGATTGGAGAAGAATTGCCTTTGATTCCAGATGAATTATCAGAAGAAGGCAAAGATTTTCTTAGAAAGTGTTTTGTTAGAGATCCATCGAAAAGATGGAGTGCTGAGATGCTTTTGAATCACCCTTTTATTTTGGATGATGAAACTGTTTTAAATTTGAAAGAGTTAATACATGAGTCGCCATTGCCATTAATGTCTCCAAGAACTCACTTCGATTTTTCTCAATGGACTTCTTCTATTACGACGACATTACCGACAAAGAGAATCCAACTATCACTTGTGAATCAAAGACCGTTATATTCATTAGAAGGAGAATGTTATTAATATTTCTCTCGTTAGAATGATATGACTAGTGTTTTGTTTTGTCCAGTCAAATTAGAATTTTGATGAAGAGTCTTTTATTGTAAACTACCGTGACATATTATTGATTTATATTATATGTGAGAAATTTCTTTTAATGATTTTTGTTGATTGAATTATTTTTTAATAAGCAAGGAATTATATTGAAAAAGAGAACTAAAAGTTCTCAACGAAGGTTACAAACGAACTACAAAAACCGAAACTAAAACGGGGAAATTACAAGAGGAAACCGTGAACAATTTATCAGTGATTGCGTTTCAATTGACCTGATCCCTCCCACCTGCAAAAACAACCATGTCTGCCAGCCATAACAACATCTGTTGTTTCTTCCCCAAAAAATCTGACAACCCTGGAACCATGTGCGGAATACTGAAGTCCCCCCAAAGCCACTCTCCCTTCTCCCATCTTATCATACCGACAACCGCCACCCCCTTTCAGTTGAGTCACCACAAAAAGATCAGGAAACAGCTCCCTCAAACTTTTGTCCCTGTACCAAGCAACACATCAAAAATCTATGTTGTAACCACTGCCTAATACAGACCTGCAACATTTCTAAAAAATATTGAAACCTAATTTCTTCTATAGCCCAATCAAATCTAGCCACCAAGATGAAGCAGTAACATTAACCCTTTTGAAACACACTCCTCCACTCGAAATATGACTACAAATGTCACCGTAACGAGCTTTCAAGATTGCGAACCAAAGTGAATTCGAACCTTCAAGAATCCTCCATTTCCATTTACTTAAAAGAGCCAAGTTAAAATTTACCACCTTCTTGAGACCAAGACCTCCTTTCTCTTTTGGTAAGAAAACCTCCTTCCACCCCACCAATGTATCCTTCTTCTATCCTCCACTCCTCCCCCAAAAAATTGCTTTGAATTTTTGTAATTTACTTAGCAATCTTTACCGCCAACTTGTAGAAAGAAAGAAGAAAAATAGGGAAAGAGCTCAAAATGGACTTGAGAAGAGTAATTCTCCCACCCAAGCTTAGAAAACAAGCATTCCAGCTATCTAGACGTTTTTTCAACTTCATCAAAAGCGGTTCCCACATTACAATCCTTCTAGGATTAGATCTTATAGGAATGCCAAGGAATGAGAACTCTTTGGCCTCCATCCTACAAGAAAGACACAAAGAAGCGGCTAACATAAAGTTAGAATTGGTATTGATCCCAATAAATTTACTTTTATGATAATTAATACCAAGACCCGATACTAATTCAAAAGCCCTAAATACCGTTTTTATAGCCCACACATGTTTCCAACTTCCTTCCCCAACTAACAACATGTCATCCGCAAATAAGAGAATATTAACCACACACTTACCCTTAATGTCGAACCCTTCAAGAGATCCATTCTCCAATGATTTTCTAACCAAACTCGTTAATCCTTCCGCAACTAAACTAAAGAGGAACAGAGATAGAGGGCCTCCTTGTCTCAAGCTCCTTTCCACCTCAAACTCCTTAGTGGGGCTCCCGTTTACTAGAACCGACATATGACTATTAAAAATTAAATCCTTCATCCATCGCATTTAAATATTCCCAAAACCCATCTTTTTCAACATGAATATTAGGAATCCCTAACTCACCTTGTTGTAGGCTTCTTCGAAGTCCACCTTGAATAATAAACAACTTATGTCTTCCTTGACCGCTAAATCCACCACTTCATTTGCCACTAACACTTCATCCATCAATTGTCTTCCCGCCTTAAAAGCGGTTTGGCACGGGGAAACAAGGTGGTCCAACACCATTTTCAATATAGCCACTAGAAGTTTAGATGAAGATTTATACAAACATCCTACTAAACAAATTGGGCAGTAGTCGTCTAATCCAACCGTGTTAGGAATCTGCAGGATAAGGGTCAAGAAAGAAGAAACAATTGCCTTTGATAATATCCCTCTGGAATGAAAACTATTTAAAGAAATTAATAAAATCATCTTTAATTATCGACCAACATTTTCTTACGAAAAGGAAAGAATACTCGTCTAGGCCCTGACTTTTGGAACCCTCTCAACCCTAAATAGCTTCCTTTATCTCGCTCTCCAAGAAAGGTGCTTCAAGAAAAGAACTATCATAACTACTAATAGCGTTGAAAGCCAACCCTCCGAGAATAGGTCTATCCCGGTCCGATTCTTGGAACTTCCCCTCAAAGTAGATATAACTTCCTCCTTCACCTCCGCCACCTATGCCCAATGTGATTATGTCTTCTTCTTTCTTTCATTATGGAATGGAAAAACCTACTATTGTTGTCCCCATCATTGATCCACTTCAACCTTGCCTTTTGAATAATCATATTTTATTTTATCCTCAAAATCAACCAAAACCTTCTAATAGCCTCTTTTTTGTTTCGTATGACTTGCCACCTTCTACTAACGTAAATAAGGATTCATCCTTTTCATTTAATGCCCTCACATCCTCCTCAATCTCCAAATCCATCCTCCCGAACACCTCCAAGTTCCACCATTTAAGTCTCTCTTTAAGCAATCACAATTTCTCCTTTAAAACAAAATCACCTTTTCCTTCTACCTTCAAATCTTCTCACTCTTTTGAAACAAAAAGGAATAAGAAAATCGAAAGAAAACCATTCATTATTGAACATGAATGGTTTAGGACCCTAATTAGCACAATCCTTCACCGACCAAATGGGACAGTGATCAGAAATATCTCTGAGATCTATGAGCTGCCCAACCACCCCCCATTTATTCACCACCATATCCGACACAAGAAAATAGTCTATTATACTCATCGACCTACCATCCCCACTATACCAGCTAAACCTTTTCCCTTTACACGACACATCAACCAGCTTGCTCTCTTCAATGAAATTGGAAAACTCCCTCATCTTCGAAGTTCTACCTTCCCTTGATCTACATTTTCTCTCCCTCTGACTTTTGATTACGTTGAAATCTCCTCTTATAATCCACTCGCCATCCCCATGCCTATCTTTATAATCAACCAATTCCTTCCACATAATTCTTTTAGACGCCAAATCACAGGGCGAATAAACACTAACCACGTAATAAATGTGATTCTTCCACTCCATCTTTACCCCCAAGTATCCTCTGCCTTTAAAACTCCCCAAAACATTAATAGAGTTTTGCTTCCACATGATAATAATCCCACAGAAAAAACCCAACGGCATTAGAAAAAGAATAACCCACATCTTATTTACTCCACATACTGTTCACTATATAGTCCTGCACCTCTGACAATTTCGTTTCTTAAACAAGAAATATATTTGCATTCTCTTTCTTAATCAAAGCACTAATTCTCCTCCTCTTCAACAAGCTACAACCCCCTCTAATATTCAAAGTACCAATAATCATTACAAAGAACTTTTATTCGACTTCCCATCTTCCATTCTAGTTTTATCTCTTCTTTCCATTTCTTTAATCCTTCTCTTATAGTTCTTCCTAGAATCCGTAGCCACAACCCCAAGACCTTCTATAGCCCTCCATATTTTATCACCATCATTGTTACTCATAATTTCCCACTTCCTAAGATTATTCTTGCAAATAAAAGAATCTTCCGAGTGGTTTCCATAACAGACCTTGTTATCACTGTTTCCTCTTCTTTGTGCCCCAAAATTATTCTCCATGCCTCCTCCAGTATAACTTACTAATACATTAGCTGGATCTGAACAATATGCTTTTTTCTTCCTCTGTTTTTTCTTTTTTTTTCTTCATGGTCCTTTTTGTTTTTTTTTACTCCTAAGCCCACCATATTCCACCATGTTTTTGAACTTTGATATTTTAATATAATGCCTCCTATCCACGTGTAAAGGATCTTTGGACTGGTTGATAAAGTCAACTGTACACCCCACCCTCGTTCCTTTTGAAATAACTGAACCCACTGTTCCTCCCAAGGACCCACCAACATTGGACATCTGATAATTATTATCCTTTACCTTAACTAAATCCTTGTCAAACACACTATCTTTTGCCACATTATCTGACCTGCGCATAGAGTTAGCTACTAAATCCCATTTTTTTCTTTCCCAATACATCCTCCATGTTTCGCCTTTTTATTAATATCATTGATCCCCATAATATCCAAATCGTCTTAGGAAGAAAAATTTTCTATGGTATCGGGAACCTCAAACACATATTCTCTATTATCCATTGAATAATCCTCAGACCATCCATCTTCCAATGAAGAAGACTCAATCTGCACCAAACTCTAACTAACCACAGACTTAGCCACCCTCAACGAACCAAACGTATCCTCCCGTAACAGAATATGAAAATGTGAACTGTCAATCTCAACAAGAATGTGATCGGCCAAAACAAAGGAACATTGAACTCTGATCATGATCCTAGCTATGTCCATGTTTGACCCATTCGAAGTGTTTTCATCAGTGCAAATGAACAAGCCTAAAGAAATACCCAGGATTGTGAAAAAATTATTGTTCTAGGCATGACAAGGAATGCCATGTGCTCTAAACCAAAGAACATGCTCCTTATTAACATCTTCTTCTTTCCACTTTCTGATAGTGGAGAACCATTGCTTCCACCAAAACTCTTTGTCTGCAATAAGAGCTTTAATTTCTATGTTCTCTACTTCTTCCAAGAGACACGGATTTGCCCCTAACGACGTGACTTTAACTTCAAAATAGCCTTCCAATTCAAATGAATTTTGAATGTAGTATGTTGAACTAGGAATAATCACTTCCCCTACAAAGGCCTTATAGAATCTCCTGTTATCAGCCTCACTAGTCACATACCTCACCCTCACTTTCTCCTTCACAACATCTTGTTGATTCCTCATTCCCAGAACTTCCACAAAAGTTCTAGTTCCTCTCAGCACAGCGTTACCTCCTTCCATGGGCTAGATCCCCGCCTTAGAAGCTCCCCTAAAACGCCTCTCACCGGACTCGACCCTTCTTCAACGCCTAATCCCCTTTCGAACCGAGGAAAATTTGCATGTATTTTTCTTCCAAAGATGATGATGTTGTCAAGTTTGATGTAA